TGTAGTTTTCAGCGGTCGTATGAGTCCTGGAAGAATATCCGGTGATGACACGCCTGGGTAGTTGGGGTCATTGGCGGCTAAGGCTATCGCTTGCAGTGTTTTCCAGGCGTGGAGGACACTGACTGCTTTGTAAGGGAATAGGCGGGGAACCACAAGATGATGTTCCTACCTCGGCGATGCGTTTTTAGTTTTTGGTGCACGACATTGCTGCGCTTTCACCCGAAGCGCACCCTTGATCTTTGTCGTTGCCGTTCGCGTTTGACTTGAAACGGCGGGCATTTACCCGAAACGTAACCTTGAGTCTTGAGAGCAATATGTACGTTTAGACGTATCAAGGTTGTACGTTTCGCGCCAATGAGCACCGTTTCAAGTCAAGCAACGACCACCAGTGAGACTCAAAATTCGACGGGGGCATCATCTCGAACGGGGAAGTATTTTTGTGATCGTGTGTATATTTCATAATTATACACACAATCGCTGAAAGACAGCCCCATTCAAGACAAGACCATAGCCAGCCGAGTTTTGGAATTTTACCAGTGGACCTTTCTTGACTTGAAACGGTGCGCATTCACTCGAAACGTAACCTTCATATGTATTGATGTCCGTTGCTTGACGCGAAACATCGGGCATTCACTAACCTTGAACTTTATTGATGCTGATTGCTTGGCTTGAAACGGCGGACATTTACCCGAAAAGTAATCTTGATCTTCGTTGATGGCGGTTGCTTGACTAGCATTGATGACTGGTTTCGTTTGACTTGAAACGACGGGCATTCACCCGAAAGGTAAACATAATCTTCATTGCTGCCGGTTGCTTTTGACTTGAAAACGGCGGGCATTCACCCGAAACGTAACCTTTCGTCGCAGGCCCTCCGCGGCGCCGAGCTCGACCTCAAGAAGCTCACGAACCGGCTGAAGCAGTTCTCCGAAGAACGCAGCCACGCCGAGCGTGCCGTGGCCAGCATGCTCGCCAAGCACCCCTGGATTGCCGAGGAGAAGGCGTTTTTCGGGCGGGCGCAGACGGACTACGACTTTGAGGGTCGCGACGTGTCGGCGGCGCAGGGTCGGCTCAAGAGCTTGCAGGAGGAGCAGGCTTCGTTGTCGAAGAAGGTTTGCCGCCGCTGCTACCGTGTTGGTGTTGGTGTTAGTGTTAGTGTTAGTGTTAGTGTTGGTGTTGGTGTTAGTGTTGGTGTTAGTGTTAGTGTTGGTGTTGGTGTTGGTGTTGGTGTTGGTGTTAGTGTTGGTGTTGGTGTTGGTGTTGGTGTTGGTGTTGGTGTTGGTGTTAGTGTTAGTCTTGGTGTTAGTGTTAGTGTTAGTGTTAGTGTTGGTTGTGGTGTTAGTGTTAGTGTTAGTGTTGGTGTTGGTGTTAGTGTTAGTGTTAGTGTTAGTGTTGGTGTTGGTGTTAGTGTTGGTGTTGGTGTTGGTGTTAGTGTTGGTGTTGGTGTTGATGTTGGTGTTAGTGTTAGTG